GTCAGATTTAAGGTGACCTCAGCTCGCTGTCCCCTATGAACAAATACATACCTAGGGCATCTCCTGCCTTAAAACGCCCGGGCCATCGCGTTCGGATCTTTTTTGCCATCCAACATGGTGGCATAAACATTCACGGACGCGTTTGGTTATCCAAATTCCTGCAAACCGGATGCAAAGCCTACGGAGGTTTGCGAGAAGGGGCGATAGACAAGATGGAGAATAAGGAGGACGCATGTGTCAATCGCCATGGCGTCAAGGAGGAAAAGAACACATAGAGGTTTGAGATCTTCATGGCGGTGACGAAGAATAGATCAACCTCGAAGATCAAAAGATAAAGCTCGAAGAGAGGAGGGTTGAGCTCGCGGCCGCTTAGAAGGAAACCACAATGTTGACCATCAAGATGGACGAGTTGGATCCCCATGTGGCAAAGGTTGTGCAAGCCGTCCTTGCAAATATGTTGAAGCGCTTGCCGACAAAGGTAGCGGAGGCTGAGGTTGTGGAGGAGTCGGTGACAGAGTGATGAGGGGAAATGGGCTTTGACAGGGGTTGCAACATGTCCATCACCCATACATCACATTTTGCCGAGTACAATGCTGACTATCTCAGCACACTTTAGTTCTCGGCAAATATCGTTGGTCACATGACAGTCGCTCGTGTGTCTGTACTTGTCAGAGTATTTTGTTTCAGGTCTCGGCGAAGATGACATCTTGGCGAATGTTGGACGCCACGTGCCTCACTCCTGGGTGTTCAAGTTCGCCGAGTTCCAATGTCTGGTTCTAGGCAAAGTCACATGCCACGTGAGAGCCGCCGTCCCGTCAAGTGCATTTTTTGTGCGGAGTACCCCACCTAAGGCTCGACAACTGGTTTGCCGAGTCCCTGATCAACGGCGCTCGACAAAATGGGCTTTGCATGAAGGCTTTCTGCCGAGTACCCTTAGCCAAGATCTATACTCGGTAAACAAGCTGCAGAATGGGAACCCCTTTCACCAAATGTTCCTGACACTTGAAAAACACGAAAAATGCAATTTGCCGAGTGGGAAACCACTTTCATCAAGTTCGACAACTGGTTTGCCGAGTCCCTGATCGACGGCGCTCGACAAAATGGGCTTTGCATGAAGGCTTTCTGCTGAGTAC